TTTTTTTTTTTTTTTTTTTTTTTTAATTTTTGAGTCAAGGTCTCACTCTGTTTCCCAGGCTGGAGTTCAGTGGCATGATCACAGCTCATTGAGGCCTTGACCTCCTGGGCTCAGGCAATCCCTCCTCAGTCTCCCAAGTACCTGGGACTACAGGGACACACCATCATACTTGGCTATTTTTAAAAATTTTTTTGTAGAGACAAGATCTCGCTGTGTTGTCCAGTCTGGTCTCAAACTCCTGATCCCAAACTCCAAGCAGTATTCCTGTCTTGGCCTCCCAAAGTGCTGGGATTACAGGCATGAGCCACCACACCCGGTCCCCACCTCATTTCTTATAGATTTTTTTTTCTATAGTTTTTTTTTTGTTGCTAAGTATTAACTCAGTTATCAAAGTAAAAAAGTGACTTTCTATTCCTAATTTGCCGAGTTTTGGGTTTTTAGAAATTATGAACAGACATTGAATTTTATCAAATATTTTTTTCTGCATCTATTGATTTTTCTCCTCATTCAGATATTAAGCCAACCTTACATTTCTAGAATAAGCCCAACTTGGTTGTAATGTGTTATTCTTTATATAAATTCTTAAATTTGGCTTTCTAATATTTAGTTTAGGATTTTTGCATCTTTGTTTATGAATGCGATTACCCTGTATTTTTCTTTTCTATTAATGTCCTTGACTGGTTTTGATATCAAAGTTCAACTGATTTCATACAGTAGGTTGGAGAGTGTTCACATTTTTGCTGTTCTCAGGAAGAATTTGCATCAGATTGACTTCCTTTTCTAATGTTTGATACAATTTACTCTGGTAGATAGCATCTGGAATTTTCTGTTAGGAAAGTTTTTAATTGTGAATTGAATTTTTTACTAGCTATTGGACATACTATTTTTTATTTCTTATGTCATTCTAGATAATTTTTCCCTTCAGAGTTTGTTCATTTCATCTAAAATTTCAAATGTATTAGTAAAAAAAAAGTTGTTTGCAATTTTCCCAGTACTTTTTTTATTTTAAAATATCAAATGTAGAAAAAAGTAATAGAGCAAATAACTTTTCCTAAGTCACCCAAGAGTAAGCTCAGTCATGATGTCCCACCACCCCAAATACATTACTGCAGTTCAATCCAGACATGCTATTTATTTTTTTAAAACGGCCTTGTGGAAGTACAAGTATAATTGGCATACAAAAATAGTGTACATATTTAAAATGTACAGTTTGACAAATTGACATATATAATCTGTAAAATCATAACTATAATCAAAATAGTGAACATACTTATCAACTTTCCTTATGCCTCTTTGTTATCCTTCTCTGTGGTCCATTTTGTGTTAATTTTTATACATGATCTCAGTTATGAACCTGAGTTCACTTTTTGCATATGGATATTAAATTGTTTCATAACTGTTTTTTGAAAGACTATTCTTTGTCTCGTTGCTTTTGAACATGCATCAAAAATATGGTTGTCTACATATACTTTTATTTCTGGACTCTTTATTCCATTGATCCATTTGTCTATTTTTGCACCAGTATACACACTGCCTTGATTATTGTAGCTTTATAATGAGTCTCAAAATCAGGGAGTGTTGGCCCTCCAGCTTATTCTTTTTCAAAGTTATTTTCACTATTATTGGTCTTTACATTTTCATATGAATTTTTGAATCAGTGTGTCAGTTTCTACAATATACACATACACAAAAGTCTTGAGATTTTAATTGTGTTGAATCGTTAGATCAATTTGGAGGGAATTGACGTCTAAACAGTATTGGGTCTTCTGACCTATGAAATAGGATATATCTTTTCATTTGTTAGGTCTTTAATTTCTTGCAGCCATATATTTGTAGCTTTCAGTATATAGATTTTTCACATTTTTTGTATGTGAAATTCCTAAATACTTCATATTTTAATGTTATTATAAATAGAATTTTTTAAATTTCAATTTCTGATCATTTATTGCTAGTATATAGAAATGGAGTTGTTTTTTTGTATATTGATCTAGTGTTTTTCAACTTCGCTGAATTCACTTATTCTAGTTGTTTTTGGATAGACTTCTTATTAAAGTGACTGTGAAGTCCTTTTTTTTCTAGGTCTAGTTTAGCTCTGTTTCAAGGCATGGCTTTTCTGGGGACTTTATTAAATGTCCTGAGTGTTTAGCAAAGCTTTTTCATTCTGTATGGTTGAAACTGAAGCATCTTCCAGCCTCCTGTGTGTAGCTTAGAATTTAGTTGGAGTCTCAAGGGGGCCCCTGTAGACATCTCTTTCCCTTGAATTCCAGCTGCCGTTGCTTTCTCAAATTCTGATCTATGTTCAATGAGATCACTGTGCTTTGAGATTTTCCTCACTGTCCCACAGTTAAGAAATCACCGCCAGGCAAAAATAAACAATCATGGGGCTTACTTTGTTTCCCATCTCTCGGGGATTACAGCTCTTGCGCCTATTGTCTGTCTAAAAATAGTTGTTTAATCTATTTTGTCCAGTTTAACAGTACTTTTGGTGGCAGGACTTGTCCAGTAACAGTTACTCTGTCATGGTAAAATATGACATTTGTCTCCATCATACTGTTTTTAGCCCCATAGGTCAGTTAGGTACCAACTATTGTATTGTAAGCTCACTGGAAGAGTCAATAACATGATCTTGTATAAATAAGTTTATGAGAATGATTTAAAAAATTAATTTCAAATGAATGCTGTCACATTGATGTTTTATTTACTAAACAAAAAAATAATTACCTAAGTCCTATGACTTAGTCCTAATTACCTTTGACTTAGGTAATTGTCATTATCTAATTGTATCATACTTTTCTTTTATCAAATGAACTTCTTTTGGTTAATTATTGGATATACTGTGGAGATTTTGTACTCCATTACTTTTTGGAGGCAGAGCCTTTATTCTTAGGTATAGGAACAGTTATTAATATTTGTATTAGACTAATACCATGTCTTAGATATAGCTAGTTTGTACTACATACTCACATAACTCAAGCTTAGCTTTTATTATAAAATAACTTACTACCTAGGCTTTCTGTCTAGTGATTCCAACATCAATGAATGATCAGCCTTAGGTGACTTTTAAATGCCCTTCAACGTTGAAATTCTATTATTCTTCAGCAAATTAAATTCAGCAAGAATGGCTTGAGTGCCATCTTAAGAGTGTATGTTATATAAGAAGAAAAACTGTCCTTGCCTTTGAGAAACTTAGAATTTCATTTGTGAGATAATACCTACATATATACAGAGAGAGAGAGAGTAGTTACACATTGTGTATGATTAATTGCAGAATGAACAGCACAAATTCATAAATGCCTGAGATGTTAAGTCAGAGAAAGAGACAATATGGCAGAAGTAGAATAAGAAAGAGCACATCATCTTGTGTGTTGGGATAACAGTAAAAGACAGCCACAAACACATTATAAAAAGAGTACATATTTGCTGGAATGTCAGTAAAGAGAACAGCCTCACAGAAATAGCCTCTTGATCTTGTTTGAAAAATGTGTAGCTAAGTTATGAACTATTGCAGTTTGTCAACAATGGCATTTCTTTCAGCAAGTGCCAGCGTGGTGATAGCATTGGCTGTGTAGATTTGGAAATCTTATGTTTGCATAACTAAGGTACCACCAATAATTATGTCTTGATGTTGAGTAGAATAAAAAATTTTCATGGAAAAATCCTCATTTGTATAATGAGATATATGTTTGAGAAACAGTATGAACAAAACAGCCATCTGAGATCTGCCTTTTTGGAACTGCTAGGTGTTAGGGAAATTCCTTGGAGTTTTGTAGCTTTCTCTGTCTGTTTGAGCCTAGTAGATTCTAGTCTTTTGTTTGTGTTTAACTTTAAAGGATCAAGGTTAGATTAAGGTTAAAACTGTCTTGCTGGGTTGATATTGAAATCTGGGCACAGTATTCCATGCTGTCTTTGGGTTTTTATTCTGATAATGGAACAGTGATTGAAAGCACAATTATTTTAATTTAATATTCTTCAAATAAAACCAAATGTAACATGCATATACTAGAATAAAAAAGTGTGGATAAATTTCCTACAAAAATCATAATAGTGCTGAAACTTATTTCCATTGACTGTGACCTAAACAGGTTATAGAACATTTATATGGTTTAGTATATTATCAAATGAAATATATGTAAAGACTATTTTGTAAGTATGAAAATTCTAAATATTGAATTTCAGTGTATCATAGTTTACAGTTTTTAAAATTATAGAACTATAATATTGCATCATTTTGTTTGGAGAAGCAAACGAAAGCAGGAAGCACATGACCAAGTGACAGATATTAAAAGCTTTATGTATGTGTCTTCACTCACATTTTCTAAAAGTACTGTTTAACAAATGCTTATCTAGTAGCATGCTGAAATTCTTGCATGTGTATTCCTTTTGCACTGTTTTATCTTTGCAGTTAACTGAGAGTATTCAGTTAAAAGAATTCCAAGAGCAGGGAAAGTGAGCGAGGGGTAAGGGGGACACAGAACACTTGAAGACATAGTTGAATGTAAGTGTGTAAAGTTTATGTCATGACACAGAACTGTTTTGAAATCAGGTAAAATAATATTAAATTATTTATAATATTTGATGCCTAGAGAAACTTAGGAGAGGACTTACAGGTATTATTTTTCTGCTGTATTCTTATCACCTGATCATTGATCACTGCAGGACAACTTCTGCAGCTAATGTGGCATTTTACTTAGTTTCTCTAAAGGCCATAGTCAGAACTAAATACATATAAGATGATTGGGTTACTTTTATTGGAGAGAAAATTGAAGCAAAGGAAATTTAGTCTTAATGAAGAATATGAGACTTTCTTCTCCCTTTATCTCATTAAGGTGCATTTTCTTCTTCTCAACAAGGTAAAATTTGGTCTACAAAATATATACTGCAATGTCTGTTTTGTTGGAAAAAATTTTTAATGAATTTTCAGGACTATTGATGCCATGAAAAAGGTACATGTACTTTTGTGGTTGCTTTAGTGTCATTTTTTGTTTGTTTGTTTTTGGCAGATAAAATAAAACAAGAAGATATCGAAGGCATTCTACAGAAATTTACTGGCAATATAATGCAAGTACCCCCTCTGTAAGCTCAATTAGTAAATTTGGATTCATGTGTAATTTTCTTTCTTAATAATTAACATTACTCTAATTAAAATAAATTAGTTTCCTTTTACTATATAGCAAAGGACGCTTTAAATTTACATGGCAAATGATCAAGTAAAGCTGAGTCTGATTTAGGATGTGGGGCTATTGACACTCTCGAGGAGGTAGCACAGTGTGATCTCTTGGCCCTGGCTGTGGCTACAGCTTAACATCTGTACTATTCCAGTGTTTATTGGCATTTCTGATTCTGGCAACATACATCAGGGCAGTTTTGAAGTCCGTAGATGTCACTTTTCCCAGAACTGCTGTGAAGGGACTAGTCTAGTCTGGGACGGGCCTCAGAGCTGCATCAGAGTGCTAATGTCCACTGCTTGTCAGGTGTTGAGACCATCTTTTTTGGGCAGAATCTTTTGCTTCACTATTCTCTGCAGCAAATGATATGGATGAGAGTTATAACTTATTAAATGTATTGCTTTACCACTTGTCCTAGTTTGGGCTGTGATAACAGAGTAACAAACTGGGTAGCTTATAAACAACATAAATTTATTTCTCACAGTTGCAGTGACTGGGAAGCCCAGGATCACAGTGCCTGCAGGTGTGGTGTCTAGTGAGGGCCTTCTTTCTCATAGATGGCACCTTCTTGCTGTGTCCTGTCATGGTAAAAGGGGCAAGGCAGCTCTCTGGGGCCTCTTTTATAAGGGCACGAACTCCTTTCCTAAGGCTCTGTCCTATGACCTAATCGCTTCTCAACAACCCCCACCTCCTAGTATCCTCCTAATAATCATCTTGGAGGTTAGGATTTTGGCATGCAAAATTTAGGGGGACACAAACATTTAGCACCACTTAACCATGGTTTTGTGCACATTACCATTTTAAGCAAAGTGCTTTTTTTTTAAAAAAAAAAATGACTGAATGGCTATGGGATGTGTCAGGATAACTTACTGACAATTCTTTTAGAATGCAGTATTTATTTTGTGTTTTAAAATCTTGAGTTTTTCCAGAACATTGAAATATCTTTGGGGAAATGTTTCTTCTTGAGTTTGCCTCAAATGTAAAGTTTTAAAATTTTTAGCAAGAGCTGTATAAACATTATTTAGGATAGTTGTTAAAATAAATTAAAATTATTTATAAGAACCATTTTAGAATTTTCTGTGATTATCTCAAGGATTTTGTTATCTGATAAAATTTTATCACAAAAGCTAAGATCTGTTAAGTAGATTAATTGCTTATTAGCATTTAAGGAACGTTTTGATAGTGGAAAAATTTTTTTCTATTTTTTTCAAATGTGGGGGTACAGTTCAGGTTTTACAGTTCAAATGTGGGGGCACAGTTCAGTTCAGATTTTAATTTGTGTTTCTTTGATGACAGCATTTTTCCATGTATCTATTGGCTGCTCATATGTCTTCTTTTGAGAAGTGTCTGTTCATATCTTTTGCCCACTTTGGAATGGGGCTGTTTTGTTTTTTTCTTTTCGGCATGTTTGAGTACCTTGTAGCCTTTTGTCAGATATACAGTTGACAAATATTTTTTCCCATTCTGTGGGCTGTTTCTCCATTCTTTTGATGGTTTCTTTGACTTTGCAGAAACTTTTCAATTTGATGAGGTCCCACTTGGCTATCTTATCTCTTATGGCATGAGCACTTGGGTTTTTGATCGGAAATTGGTTGCCAGTTCCAATTTCCATAAGGGTGTCTTCTGCATTTTCTAAGCTTCTTATAGTTTGAGGTTTTATGTTTAGGTCTTTGATCCATTTAGAGTTGATTTTTGTGTATGATGATAGGTAGAAGTCCTGTTTCAATCTTCTGCATGTGGTCAGCCAGTTTTCCCAGCACCATTTTCTGAATAGGTTCTCCTCTCCCCAGTGGTTTATGGTGGAGGCTTTGTCAAAGATGAGTTGGTTTAGAAATTGAGGTTTTGCTTCTGGAATCTCTATCCTGTTCCATTGGTCTATATGCCTTCTCTTGTACCAATACCAGGCTGTTTTGATTATTGTAGCCTTATAATAAAGTTTAAAGTCTGGAATTGTTATTTTAATAGAAATTGTTTTAAGGAAATATATCTGAAAGATTATTATGACCAGATGCTACTAAATTTCTTGTGCCCTTAATACAGAATAAGGACAAGTGAGAAGACATGAATAGATCATTTCCAGAAAGATGGTTAAAGAATAAAATTGGCAACACTGCTTATTGAGGCTCAGAGATATTTTCGGAACTCTTATCTATGACAGCATTGTAGAGTGGAAAAGAAAAAAAAAAACTAGTTCAGTTTTTAGAAGAATTTTCAATTTAAAGAGCTGCTTGTCATTCTTTTCATATGATACCTGGAATTATTATCTCTCAGTCTCTCTAATTCTCTATCAATTCTTGCTTTCCCTTTACCTCCCTCACTCCCTCTCTTGTCTCTCAAGCTATTCTGCATTGAAGAAAGATGGACAGAGACTTTCAACTTTGATGAAGAGAGGTGAAGCAGTAGAAGCGAAACCTGCCAGGCCAGTTACTGTATATAGTATCTCTCTTAAAAAATTCCAGCCACCTTTTTTCACATTAGGTAAGATGGAGAAATTTGAAATCATTTGTATTTAGTATTTACATGTGCTTTTACTTTATATTTGGCTACTTTTATATAATTTTGATGGATTCTTTAGGATGTTGGAGATTTTTAAACATTTTAATTTAAAGAAGGTTAGGATTTGTTAATACCTGTTTGGTAGCACATTTAATGAGACACCTGTTTGGAGGTTTAGAAATGCCTTTTAACTTTCCATTGTACTGTGTTGTCTTACTATAAAGTTGGAAGTAACATACTTTAGCTCGCTACAGAGAGGAATAGGTAAGGAGTATATATTTTTTAATTTTAGTTTTTATTATCTGATGGATGATTTTCTTCCCATTTTGGCTAGTACCTGATACATTCAATTTTCGGGCTGACATTAATTTCTCCTTTTAAAAGCATTTTTAGTTTCTGGACAAGAAATGCTAAGAGTAGACTGATTCCCCCCCCCCCCCCCAACCCCTTTCTTTATCACCTGAAAGTTGCTACTAAAGTTCCTGAAAATACGGAAAAAATTGGCAAGGCAGAAATGTATTCTTGGACACCTGGTCACATTTTAAATTCAGGTTACCATTTGGATTTATAATTCATATTTGAAATAAATGTGGAAACCAAAAAGTTTGTTTCTATTGTTTGGAAATGTTATCTTCCTGGATACAGAAAGTTGTGAACTTATAATAGCTGTGAAAAATCAAAAGCTGTAGTTCTTAATCATCAGACTCCCTTAAATAGATCCTACCCTGAATATCATGAATGGGATTCCTTTTAGAAATAGTTTTCCAAATCCTTTTTGTCTAAACTTTGTTGCTTTTTCTTATTGGCATTATTACTCCTGCAGAATGTGGTTTTGGACAATTAGATAAAAAGATCACTCCTTTTCATCTACTTTCAGTTTCCTGATTCCAGAATATTTCAGTTTCCTAATCAGTTTCCTGATTCCAAAATATTTGACAGACATTGAAAAAAACACACTATACAATGTTTTGTTCTGTTCCATGAAATTGAACAGCTGGTTTGGCAGAGTAGATATTATTTATGAAATTAAGAAAAACTCAGCCACTACCTGACTAGACTGTGGTGTGTGTGGCCATGTGCTTTTTGAGCTATGGCTATTACCATGCTTCCTGGCTTTGGCCCCCTTCCTTGCCATGGGAAGGTGAATCTCCTCTTTCTTTCTAATTTACTTTTTAAATAAACTATATTTTCTTATCTAAAAAAAAAAGAAGGTAAGAAAAACTCAAATTTTTCCCTTGTAATTAAGTCATAAATATTTTGTTTACTAGAGAGTATAAAGGTCAAAACTGTCTTTTCACCAAAGTCAAATATGTAAGAATCTTAGCACACCTACATTGGATCCTAGTGCCCGTTTTTTATCTCAGCAGTGGCTCCCAACCATGAGCTCACTGGGGAGGTGGGGGGAAGGGAATTAAAATCTCCAGGTGGTGAGTTTTGATTAATTCCCCCAAATGGCTGTATTTGTACAAGCGAGACTAGAAACAGCTAGAATGTAGTCCTTTTGTGTAGAAATGTGGCAGCTTTTTTTCAGAATGTCTTGTTGCTAAATAAAAATAATACAGAGCCCTGTTCTCAACCAGTAAACTTTTGTTACATTGTGCTAAGAAGATGCTTAGATATACATTCAGTTCTGGGACATTGTGTAATTTTAAATTATTTCATGATTTCTTCAGGAGTATTTCCAAGAGAACATTTAATTATGCTTAGTTTTGTTTTACAATCCTAGTTGCTATGTAAAGGACTTTTTTCTTGGTTGGTTGGTTATAGTTTTTGAATGTACGAATCAGAAAATATTTTACAAATCTACAGCCGAGGATGGCAAAGCTGCAATTTCCGACCATTTAAAATCTATTAAGTGAACAAGGCCTACAAATTTGAAAATATTTTTAAAAATCTTCAGTTCATGATAGCAAAGCTGAGATTTCCAACTATTTAAAACCTATTAAATGAACAAGGCTGAAGTATTAAAGTGGTATGATTTGCCAGTTAATTTAAAATGTGTTCGTGAGTTTCTGCTGTTTGCTTTCTCCACACTGTGACTTTTCAATCTCACAAAAACACATATGCTGCTGGATGAATAATTTATGTTTTATGCGCATAAATATTTTAGCACTCAATTGTTTGCATAGTGCATTTTTACATTTGTTTTGGGGCATCATTTCTATGTAAAGTGGATTTCATAAGAGGTTAGCAATTTACCATGTCACTGTTAACATTCCAGATGTTGAATGTGGAGGAGGTTTTTATATCAGAAGCTTGGTTAGTGACATTGGCAAAGGTAAGCATAAAAATGAATGATGAATTATCATTTAGAGAGTAATATTCCTTTTCGATGGGAAGAGGGAATTTTTTGTGTTTCTTATTTCTGAGTACTGGCCTTAGAAACTGAACTCTTGCTGCCTTCAGCTTTAGAAGCATTGTCGTTTTATGACATGCAATTATCAGCCTCAGCAGCTGCAGTGAAATGCTCCTAATGGGAGAGAAGAGAAAAAGAGGAACAGAAAATGAAGGCAAGATAATGAACTTAAGGGCCAATGTTTTTGCAAGTACAAGACATTTTAGCCCAAAGTAGAGATCAGAAAAAAGAGATTTATCCTTCTAAAAGTTATTTTCATTGATTCAAATCAAATTTTTTAAGACCTGGAAGCCATAGCCTTACATACATAACCAGAAAGTTGTGGTTCTGGCTCTGTCATTTACTGGTAGTCATGACACTGGACAGGTCATACTATCTCATCTGTAAAGTGAAGGTGATAATCACCTCAAGGGGTTGCTACTTGGGTTTAAATAAGGAAAATGTGTGCAAGTTCTTTGACTTTAAAGTGGTTTATGCAGTGAGTTATTAAATATTGTTTTACTACTTAGTCATTTCTTTATCTTAAGGCTCTTGGTTCTTATGTTGCATTACTACTATTTTATTTTGGGGGTGGTTTTGAGAGGCTTGAGACAAGTTCTGTCATTTGAAAAATTATAGAGTATGAAATACTGAATCATTTGTCTTCTGAATTTTTTTTTCACCTTTTGTTGCTTTAGAACTCTCTTCCTGTGCCAATGTGCTAGAGCTGACCCGAACCAAACAGGGACCATTTACGCTGGAAGAGCATGCCCTTCCTGAAGACAAGTGGACAATTGATAACATTGCACAGTCTCTTGAGCATTGCTCATCTCTTTTCCCAGCAGAGTTAGCACTTAAAAAATCAAAACCTGAGGAGTCTAATGAACAGGTTTTGAGCTGTGAATATATAACTCTAAATGAGACAAAGGGAGAAGATGATGTAATTAAGACATGTTGATATTGTTCTGGAAATATCGTCATTTCCTGGTTGACATTTGAATCCTGTATGCAGATGCGAAATGACAAGCTACATGCTAGAAAAAAACAACTGTTCCTAACTTTTTTTTTTTTGCATGAAGACAAATGTTCATCATTTACAGTTCCAATAGCATACAATTTATTTGCTATACATTATAAATGACCTTGCACTTGTTCAGTTCTTGGCTGTACTATGGAATGTCTTTTAGGATGTTTTTAGGTTGTTAAAATATAAATTTGATTGGATTCAGGAAAACTAAATTTCTGAATTTGATCTGTCATCAGTCTTTTCCTGTGAAAAAGTTGAACAAGTTTTCTAATCAAAGAAAAAATAAATATGAGCACCATGTTTCTTTAACTTTAGTTTCTTTTATAGTGAATGCAATTTAGTGTTATTTTGACTTCATTTAGGGTCAATTTTACTGAGATTCTTTAACTGTGTTTAAATGGCCATTATTATCTCTTTCTTGTGTTTTGCCGAGTTTATTATTATTAAAAACATTTTGATAAAACCACTCATCTAGTAATTAATACCTGTGTCTGTTTAGATCTTGGAAATGAATAAACTTTTATAATAAATATTTGTAAATGAAGCAGATTATTGCTGCTACCACTAATAGGATATAAACAGAAGACTAATATTGAATTAAATTCATCTTTCTTTTGCTATTAGAGCAAAAGATAGCCCCATAAGCTTTGTGTTTTGGCATCTATGAGATATCTTTCTGGTAGTTTCAACACAGTGGATCACTTTGTACCATGTTACTTAAGTAACATAACTTTTTAAATTGAAACTAAAGAATATGTCTTCAATTTAAAATTTCTTCTCTTTATTCTTTAGCATTTATGTATCTCTTTAATAGGGCATTAATCCCTGTGACATTGTTTCTTCAGTTGTTTGCTTTCTCAAGTGATATTTATAGATGTTGAGATAGCCGCTTTGCATTTCCAGCCTATTTCTTCTGCTCTAAATATTTAAAAAGTTATTCTCAAATGTTTTTATCCAAGTAAATTTCTGAAAGCTTCTTTAACCATAATTTTGAAAATGTAGTCACATTACAAAATAAATTTTGTATGTAACAAGTGCTTCTTATTTTTGTTATGGGAAAGTAGTATATTATGCAGTCAGTCTGCAGAAACGTTCAAATCCTTTTTATTCAAATATAGTTTCAAAAGAAGACTCATTAAAATTTTCATAAAATATGACTTTCGATTTCTATAGATTACCTTTTTTTAAAGAGTTGGTTGCCTGCTTGCAACCTCTAACTCAGAATTTTAAAATATGTAAACTAAAGTGGTTTTATTTGTGCTTAAGCTAATAGAAACTGTATATTAAAAGCTGCGAGCTTCAATAGAGCATTTTCAGCATACTGGCAACATATTTTAAATGAAAATGTGAAAACTAATTTTTTAGTATGGGACAGAAAATTATAAGAGTATTGATACCATGATGTATTAACATAAAATACCAAATACAAAGTTATAAATTGAAAATTTGCAATTATTCACATCTAGTCCCTGCAGTTTATGTCAGCCAAGGTGGCAGAGGCTTCCTCTACCCATTGGGATGGCACAGGCTATAGTGCATCCTCTTTCACTGCAAGTTAAAGTTCAAATAGAGAAATATTAGAACACATCTGTGACGTATAATTTACTACTGGGGAAGGGTAGGGATCATTTAAAACAAACTTTAAAGTGACAGCAAGTCTTTTTTCTTTTATATTGAAAGCATTGAAGGAAATTTAGTCAAATGGGAAAATTATTCATTATCCCCACCATCCTAATGCTAACTTTAGAATTTTAATTTTTATGTTACTATTTTCCCTTTTTTAATTCACATAATTATGGTCTTAAGACACCTATGCTTTTTTTGTACCTATACTTTTTAATAGACTTTTTCAGTTGATATTATCCATTTGTATTTAGTTTTGATCACGATTATTATAATTATGTTACTTTACATTTATAATTTATTTAAACCATTTCCTTATTGTTGAATACTTAAGTAGTTTTCAATTTTATTTGGATAAATTCCTGGGAGTAGGATTACTAAGTAAAATACTATGAACAATTTTATGATGTATGTTTACCTTATGCATTTCCAAAGAGCTGTAACATTTTACAGTGTCACCATTTGTGTAGGGGTTTTATGTTGTTGCACATGTATTAAGTGTAAGGCAGTGATTAAAGTTTCTCTCATTTGCTTTTGTGTGACATATCTGTATACTTTGTTCATTTATATAAGTAAGTGTCGTGATGGTTTCTAAGTATCTTAATGGTTTCTTTAACACATTTGTAAGAGTTATTTATACAGTACTTTATAGAAATCTTTTTCATGGCTTCTTGTCATATTTTAGTTATATTTTTCATTTTTGCTAGCTAAATTTGCTAACTGATTTTAATAATTCTCCCCCTTTTGTCACTGGCAGGATTATAAGTATGAAAGTAAAATGTATTGACTTTTTAAAATACTCTTAACCCTCATAAGAAGCTGAAGCTGATCGAGATGCTCTGAAAAGTTCAAGACTCATTCATAAAACAAATTCATTTTCTCCTGAGAATCTAGTATTTAAATATCAACTGGTTTTTTTTCCATTTTAATCAGAATATTAAATAAATATCTGTGCTTTGTATATTTCTAGGTCTAAAGCTTTATCACATAATAAAGTTGTTTTACTTGTAAGAAAAAGATAAGAAACTCCTGAAAGTGTTTCAACCTGGAACATACTAAATCACTACATTTTGACACTTTAAGTTTTTTATATTTCTGAAAAATATTGTCTTAAAAGTTGTTAAAAGCCATAGGATTATTTTATTTATGGCTTTAAAATCCATGATCTTTAAAATAAACAAATTTTCTCTACGAGTTCAAAATTGTGAAATGTGAATAAGGGCTAAACACATTTTCTTATACCTGTACTGACTAGGTCTTTTCTTCTTAAATAATACAAGCCATTGACTCATCATCAGAATTGATTCACTGTATTAAAAAAGAGCATTTTATATCTGGTCTTCAATACATTTTATGCCCCTCTGACCAGTTTGAAATTTGTATTTGACTTAACAATGAGCATTTGAAGGTTCAATTAGATAGTGAATTGTTCTGTTTCAAAGGAAGAGAGTAAATTATCTTATATCATAATGTATATAATAGAAAAAATGTGATTTAAAGCACTCTAAAATGTTGAGACATTTAAATAGAGAATATAATAGATGTGAGACTTATGCACTAAAATGATTGTAATGGTCTTGTAGTTAAATTTAAATAGAGGGATTGTCTTGAAACTATTTCTTTGAGGTATGTATGAGCAGCTCCAGTTTGTTCTAATTGTTCATTGTATACTATTTGTTAAGCACATTTGTTAAGGCAGTTGAATCAGTAATGCCTTCATTTGTCAATTTGTGAGTTAAATTCTTTTATGAATAGGAATATCTTCAGATTGTTGTTATAAATGGTGATACCAGTAGGCAAGTTGAAGTTCAGGAATTATTTTGCTCTTCTTATCCATAACCCTTAAAATGCAGCATATTATGTTTATTTTTGTCTTTACCATTAATCAGCTTTTTGATCCTAGGCAGATCATTTAATCTGAGCCTCAGTTTCTTCATTCTTAAAGGAGACAGACTAGTCTATCTCTAAGAACATTCCCAACACTAAAATATTAAGCTTCCAAGTGTAGATAATTTGTAATTATTCTGCTTAGGAACGCATTACTCATAAGCCTGAATTTTCATATTTATCAATTCCAGAAAATTCTCATTCTTTATTTCTTTGGATTTTGCATCTCTTCTAGTTAGTAGTTCTATTTATGTCCTCTCATTCTATTCTGGGTGTAATTACTCTTTCATATTTTCCATCTCTTTGTCTCACTGTGCTGCATACTAGGGAATTTCATCAAATCTTTTTTTCCAGATAATGAATTCCTTCGGCTACTTTTATTTACTGTTATGTCTTGTTTTTATTTCTGAAACAATTTCTGCCCCCCTCCCCTACAACTGCCTCTTCTTTTTTGTGTGTTGATTTATTCTTTCATTAGGGTTTTAGTCAGTGTATATATTTCTCAACTTTGACTTTATTTATTTATTTATTTATTTATTTAGAACCAAGGTCTTGCTCTGTCACCCAGGCTGGAGTACAGAGGCATGACCCTGCCTCAGCCTTCCTGTGTGCTGGGATTACCAGTGTGAGCCTTGGTTTAACTTTGATATTTATTATAAATGTACAAAATTACACATATCATAAATTTATAGCTTGATGGATTTTCACAAACCAGCAACCAAATCAAGAAACAGAACTTTACTCGTTCTCCAGAAGTCTCTACTACCCATCAAGGGTAACCACTTCTAACATTATAATTAGTTTTGTCTTTTTATGTGCTTCATATACATAGAAGTATATGACATTGTTTTATGTCTGACTTCTTTTCGCAAAGTTAACAGTTATGAGGATCTTCCGTATTGCTGCTGCCTTTGCTTGGGTTGCTGTAACAAAATATCATAGACTTGGGTGGCTTAAACAAGACATTTATTGCTCACAGTTTTGGAGGCTGTAAGTGTGAGATCAGGATGCCAGTATGGTTGGGTTCTGGTGAAAGCTGTCTTCCTGGCTTGCTGATAGCCACCTACTCATTGTGCCCTCACATGGTGGCAAGAGGAAGCTCTCTGTCTCCTCTTATATGGGCACTAATCCCATCATGGAGGTTCCAGCCTCATGACCTCATCTAAATTTAACTACTTCCTAAAGTCCTCACCTCCTAAACTCACATTGGAGATTGGAGTTTCAGCATATGGATTTTAAGGGGACATAAACATTTAGTTAATTACAGTTGCATATGGTCATAGACTATTCATTTTCATTGTTTAGTATTAAGTATTACCACTTTATCCATTTTACTGAATGATGGACACTTGGTTAACTTTTAATTTTGACTATTTTGAATAGTACCTCTATGAGCAGTCTAGTACTTGTCTCTGGGTAAACATATGCACACATTTCTGTTGGGTATTTCTAAGAGTGGAATCTAGGTCGTAGAGTATACATATGTTGAGCTTCAGTAGAGGCTGAAAATATTTTTCAAAATCACTGTACCAACAGTATATGGAAATTCTGGTTATTTACATCCTTGTCAGCACCCAGTATGTTACATTTTCATCTTAATCATTTGGGTGCATGTCTAGTTTATCACGTTATAATATTAAGCTTTTCTCTGACTTCTTGGGGTATTTATTCATTTATTTATTTATTTTGAGTTGGAGTCTCAATCTGTCGCCTAGGCTGGAGTGCAGTGGCACACTCTTGGCCACCCCAGCATCGACTTGCTGGGCTCCAGCGATCCTTCTGCCTCAACCTTCCAAGTAGCTGGAACTACAGGTGTGTGCTACCATGCCTGACTAATTTTGGATTTATTGTAGTAGAGACAAAGTCTTGCCATATTGCCCGAACTGTTCTTGAACCTGCAGGCTCAGGCAATTCACGTGCCTTGGCCTCCCAAAATGCTGGGATTACAGGCTGAGCCACTGAGCCCAGCCAGAGTTTTTTTTATATTGATTTTTGGAGTCTAATTGTCTTTTTAGTCTTAGTGTCTATTTAGTCAAACCGCTTGTTAATTCAGTTATCTGAAATTCTTATGACATATGCTCTAATATTGTTTGTTGAATCTCCTAATTCTCAGCCAAGGTGAATTGTATTCTTTGTATTACACACTTGAATTATGAGTTAATTCCATGAGACTTAATTTATGGCAGTTTTGTGCACTTAGGTTGAAAGTGTCCTTTCAGAAAAGTTTTGGAATTGCTTCTGCTAGGCACACCAGAGAGATCTGGCTTAATTTTAATATTGTTGCTTCTCAGGGAATAAGCCTGAGGATGAGGAGAGAGATGAAGAAATGACTAATCAATGGAGCAGTGAGAACACATATAACATTTATTAAGTTTGCTGTTTTAAGGGTGCTGTTTGTGGTGCCCCAAATCAGACTTGCTTGACGCAGAGTTGTCAAAAACCTCAATTTGTAAGAAGACACAATATCTGAGAAGTACATTAAAGTGAAGTGCAATAAGATGAGATATGCCTGTAAATATTTTAGGCTTTGCAGACCATGTGGTTTCTGTTGCAGCTGTTCACCTCTTCCATTGTAACATGAAAGCAGCCACAGACAATACACATAAATGAATGGGTGTGGCAATGTTTCAATACAACTCTACTTATCTTCATGCTGTAGCTTGCCAAGCCCTGCTTTAGACTGGCAGTTATCTTTAAAGAGATTAAAAACATAGCAATATCTTTTATATTTATTCATATCCTGGTGCTCTATTTCTTTTTGCAGAACCAAATTTCTATCTGGTATCATTTCTCTAAATAACGTTCCTTAATATTTTTTATAGCCCACATCTGATAGCAATGAATTTTCTCAGATTTTATTTGTCTGAAAAGTGTTTATTTCATTTTGAAAGATATTTTTGCTGGGTATATAAATCTCTGTTGATTAGCTTTTTTTCTTCAGCACTTTAATGATGTCAGTCAATTATCTTCTGGCTTGTACAGTTTTCCTGACTGCCTTCAATATTTTTTCTTCATTTTTGATTTTTAGCAGTTTAATATATCTAAGTGTGATTTTTAAAAATCCTTTTTGAGGGCTCTTAGTTTCTTGCATCTTTCGTCTTTGGGGTTTTTTTTAAAATTCGATTTTGGAAAACTCTCAGACATTATTTCTTAAAATATTTATTTTGCTCCATGCTCCTCCCCTCTCTTTTCCCTTCTGAGACTTAATTTGCATGTATGTTTAACTGTTTGATTGGAACACAGATCTTGGTTGCTTTGCTTTTTAAAAAATTGTATTTCAGTTTGGATGACTGCTATTGACCTATCTTCAAGTTCACTGATTCTTTTCTCAGCCATGTCTAGTATGCTGATACACCTGTTGAAGGAATTGTTTATCTCTGATGTCATTGTTTTAATGCTAACATTTTTATTTAATACTTTTTTTCTGCTTTCCATCTCTCTGCTGAAGTTTTTTTTATCTGTTGATGCATTTTGTCACCTTTCCTCCCTAAATCCTTTAACATATTAATCATGATTACTTTAAAGTCATTTTCTGATCGTTCTAACATCTGGGCCATACCCAAGTCTAGATCTCTTAATAGCTTTTCCACAGAACAGATTTTTTCTTTCTTGTGTGTCTTTCTTGTTTGCATTTCTTGATTGTGTGTCAAATATTGC